GATATACACAATAAATGGATGTTATAGATTTGCCATAACATTAGTAAATCTTTAATACAATAAAATAAAATCAAAACTCAACTTAACTACCTAAAAAAGAACGCATGATTTAAGGGAGATCTACCATAATATTAGGAAATCTTTAATACAATAAAATAAAATCTAAACTCAACTTAACTACCCAAAAAAGAATGCATGATTTCGGGGAGGGCAAATATGCCAAAGAAAAATAAAAAAAAGTCAAATTGTGTACTTAAATACAATTAAGTTCTAAAAAAAGGACTTAATTGACTAATATTAAAAAATGTGTACTTTTTAACAATTAAGTCTAATTTATTGTACCCCTTACAATTTCCCGATTAAATTACAACTACAATCATAATTATTAAATCGAGATTCAAATCAGAAATCGTATTGAATCAAAAATCGTAAAATTCGATACAAATTTGAGCAATGATAAAAATAACATATACATATTTAAAATAAGCAAGATATTAAATATTGAATATTATTGTATTTTAAAAATAATCAATTGACAAGTATTAACATGATTACGTCATCTAAATGAAAAGATGCTAATATTTATAAGTCTTTATTGCACTTGAGTTTGTACCTCTGTTACTCTTTCCTTAATGCATAACAATTCGTTTTCTCAAAAATGAGCACAATGAAAGATGCATGATATTAACCAACAAATAAATATTGTCTTCTTACCAATGAAGTTAAACTAAAATAGGAAAAACCCATATTCCCACATTCTATTGGAAAATAATTTTTTTGATAAAAAAAAAAAAAAATACAGAACATTTATTGAAGATGAGATGAAGTACTAGGGTATGTTAGGCGTTGGAAGCTGTTTTTGAAGAAGAAGAAGCATGCCAAGAGTGAAAGAGGCATCGTCTCCTTGTGATATTTCATAGACGCTTATAGCAGTTGCTTAAGAGACAAAAACACAAATAGGAGATATAGAGAGAGACGAGTTTTTTATTTTGGGGTGGATCTCTTCTAGCAAAATGACATTGTTTTACTAGAATAGGGTTCAAAAATAATAATAAAATGAATCATACAATTCCTTCGATTCGAATCATACAATTCAAGTGTGATTCTCAGCCAAAATCGATTCTATAGTAAGATATGAATCGAATAAGTTCTAAATCGAATAAAATCATACAAACCGAATCGCGAATCGTACGATTTGGATAATAATGACTGCAATACAAATTCAATCTTGGTAGTTGTATTCAATTGTTATATTCATCTGGCAGATGGTGAACTCACCAACTAAAGCTGATTACCAAAACAGATTTCCTTCTTATGAAATAAAATGCAATACACAATGCACATCAAACCCAAGAAGCAAGTTGACTTAGAATATTGTTGTAATTGCACTTTTGAACCGTAGAGAAGATTACATCAAGCCCATAAACCCAATTTCTGCTCTACAAATGGTTGACATTTTAGTCCTTATCAGAATGCTAAAACTAAGCTCCAGCAGAGGCATTAATGAGAATAACTAAAGTGCACATCAATTCGTGGGAAACAACGTCACAGAAGAAAAATAAAACCATAACGGCTAGATGGATGTGTTTGTTACAAACACATCTCTGTTTCTTCATCAAGCTTATTGTGCGTGTGGTACAAAATTAGAGATTTGTAAATGAAATAGCAAAATTAAATACATCTATTGCATGTGCGTGGGTGTGAGGCAGTGTGTGTGTGTGCATGTGCTGTGCTGCATGTGTGTGTTCAGCTGTGCGGGTGTGTTGTGTGTGTTCGGCATTTGGTCGAACACATTCTATGCATGTGTGCTGTGTGTTGTGCTTGTGGTATGAGCAGCGGAGAGAAAGAAAGAGGCAGAAACAGAGGGACACGTGTACCTTGTTTTGCTGTGTGTGTTGTGCGTATGGAATGAGCAGCGGAGAGAGAGAGAAACAGAGAGAGAGGGGCAGCGAGAGAGAGTAAGCAACAGCTGGGCATGAACATGGAAGGGCTGAATGAATTAAGCAGAGGCCTGCGCTATGTGTGTATGTAGGCGTGAATATGAAAGGAGTAAATAAATTAAAGCACGCATAATTTGGGAAGATGTCTTATTTTTGTAGGAGATTTGCCTCAGAATTTAAGTGTGAATATGGAGGTCATAGAGAAAGAGGTGTTAGCCGTGAATGGAATGTGTAGACGGAACAGCATTAATTTGATAATTATAAATGGAAAGTCTATTGGACAGGAGAATTTGAAATGTCAAATTAATATTTTTTAGTTGATATGAGCCACAAAAAGTTCAAAATAACATAAATCTTTAGATTTAACTTATTTTTAAGTCAAAGTGATATGGACCGCAAAAAACTTGAGATAAGTTTTGAAATTCAAATTTATTACTACTTTATTATATAGATGAGGATGTATATATCTATATAATAAATTAGCTCACAATTTAAATTTTTATCTTATACATAAATCAGCTAACAAATTGAACTTTTATTCCTTATACATTTTATCCCCAAAACATATCACATTACTCAATTTTATCACACATGTTCAATCATTTATTCATAAAAGATAATATACACATGTTGCAAAAAATTTTGTCAAATTATGCATTTTGAGAAAATTTTAATGTTATTTTTTAAAAAATAATAGGTAAAAATTAATTTTAAATAATGTAAACAAAAAATTAATTTTAAATTTGATATAGTGAAATCAATTTTTTGAACGCTTAAATCTTGATGGCGTTAACGCACTTTTACAAAATATGAACCAGGATTACGTTAGGTTACTAAGATGATGTCATAATATTCAGGGCTTTGGAAGTTAAGACAACATAATTATAGTGGTTCACCAGTTTGGGAGCTCAGCTAGTCTACTCTAGAATGGAGGCTGTTGCTCTTTTTTTATTTATTCACAGTGATTATAAAGTTACTATGACTTCTTTTTGCCACTCGGGTCTCCCCTCTGTTAAGGGGTGTTACCTTGCATTTATAAGGTCATTCCCTACTAAGAAGGATCTTAGCCTAGATTCTTACATTTATTTCGTGGGCTTCTCCTTAATTCTAGGAGAAGATTTTGGTTGGTTGAAATTGGGTGCCTTGATTACAGCTTCCTAACGCTTTAAGATCCTCTCGTGGTTATCTAGCTGTTATCTTGACCTCTGCTAATGTGCATGACCTCTTGAGCTTAGCATTTGAAATTTATTTTAGGTATCATCAGTTGCCCCCCAACCCTTGCCTCAAGTGAGTTTGGGCATGAGCTGAGCTGCTTTCGCATTGGACCAGGCCTGCACCTAACTAACCTTAGTCTGCATGTGAGATGCATGTGGGGGGGCTCTTTGACAGTTTACAACAATCATTGCTTCTTTGATTCCCACGCATGTTTCAACCCACGTCACTCAAGCTTTAAATGATTAAACGGCTACCCAAAACCACTCAAAACTCCCTGTTCATCTTCTACGCTGTTCACCTTTGCCTCTGCCTCTTTTCCTCTGCAATTCCTGGACTTTCCTACACGCAATTCACTCATTCTCTGCTCAAGACTGCGTTTTTCGGGTACGCCTCAAAGTCTTGCTTTGCTTCTTCTCTCCAATTTTATCCTCGGTTGCTGTTTGCTGCTCTCTTCCCTGTTTAGGTACGCCCTTTCTGCCCCCTTCTCTTTCTCTTACCTTTCCCCGCTCTGGAGCTCTCAAATTCGAGGTGACCGTTGTTTTTTTAAGTTTTTTGGTTCTTTTACTTTTGGAATCGAGATTGTTGTTTATCTCCTCTTCCCCGCTTTGTGGATTGAAACTCCACTGTGCGAATTCTTACCATTGGGGGGTACAGTGCTGACCCTAGGATTATTAGGGGGTGTTTGATTAGTATTCCTCCTCTCTATCATTCTTTCAAGCTGTCTTTCTCTGTACCAATCATGTCTGCCTCCTCTAGAGCATCTCCTTCCTCTGTTTCCCTCTTAGGCGATAGGTCTGCCGAAAGAGATTCTGATTTAGGGGATTTAGGTGACGAGATTGACAACTTTTCTGGTGTAGATTTTGTCGAGGTAGAGGTGAAAACCGAGGAGGCCCCCTTCACCTCTTCTCCCATGCCTGATAGACCTGATAAGGGCAAGGGCAAAGTAAGCGGTGTGGGAGTCATTGTTTTTGGCGCAGGGGCTGCCTTTAGGAACGCTGAACTTATAGGTCCCAACGGACTTGCCTCTTTGACCTGAAGGTTCTCAGTGCTCACTTTCTTTCCCCCCTCAGGGGTTCAACCCTGGAGTCCTGATAAGTACACCACATATGTTTACCATGTCCACAAAAAGGTATATTTCTTCCTTGCAGCTTTTGATAACGGACTTCACTTCCTCATTCATCCCTTTATCAAAGGTGTTTTTTCAACACTTCAATGTCTGCCCTGCCCAGCTCTCCCCCAACTTCTGGGACATTCTGGTGGGTTTACTAGTCTTCTTTAAGGACCATAAGCTTGGGGTCCCTTACTTATGGAGCTGTTCAACGTCAAGTAGACCTCCCCTGATAATTTTCTGTATATTTTCAAGAGGACTAAGGCCAAATAGGTCATCTCTGACATCCCAAGCTCCCATAAGGGCTGAAAAAAATAATTTTTCTTTGTAGGGGGTACACAGTGAGAGTTCAAATCAGAGGATAAAATTGATAACCTCCCCATCCCTACAGAGTGGTCTGCCCCAGATAATTTGGGTATGTTTCTACCCAGACCGTATTTAATCCAAGTCTGGCTGCTTTGTTAACTTATTTCTTATTTTCCTTGATTTTCTAGGTATCCGACCCGAGCTCAGCGCTGAAGAAGAAGGAGTATTACGGAAATTAGAAAAGTGCAAACCAAATAAATACTCTGAGCTCATCCAACCTTGGGCTCTCGTAGAACACGAGTTCTGCCTTCCTCAGGTGAGGGTTGAAGCTCCCTTTCCACTTTCCGTTGTTGGCAACATCCCACTTCCGCCGAAGATATATCAGGTAACACTTTCCTCCTGCCTTTGATTCCTCTATCTTCTTTTCTCCGCTAAAGGATGAGGCTTAACTGTTTTTAGGTCTCCTAGGTTCATCCTCAATGGAGCCCACTAAAGGATGAGGTTTAGCTGTTTTTAGGTCTCCTAGGTTCATCCTCAATGGAGCCTACTGCTGCTGAACTCAAGGCCAAGCTTTCTCAAATGAAGAAAATCAAGAGTAGCAGCAAGAGCGGTGGTAAGCGCAAGTCAGAACCTAGCTCTGGCAATGGCTCCATACCTCCTGCCAAGGTGCTCAGGACTGGCATGTCACATACTTCCTCGTCCCCAGCTGTCCTAGATCTCCCATCTCAAGGTGTTTCACTTTTTGCTCCAAGCGTTGCTGCTTTAGGACAGGCATCTCCTTCAGCCTCTAAGGTCGACAGAGCTCTAGAAGAGACCACCCGAATCCTAACCTTTCTCGATCCCCCCTCTGCATCATTTTCTCGACCCCTTTCTGAAAGCTTCAAGGCTTTGAAGAAGGAGCATCTCAAGGTAGAAAAGAGCGAAGGATCTTTTCTCGACAGCCTTGACCTCGCTACTGGAGCCTTTTCTTCTATTCTTCCCAACTCAGATGTAAAAAAGGCTCTCTTAATATCCCTTGAGGATTCAATAGCTCTGTTTATCATGGATAAGCTGCAGTAAGTTCTCACTTTCTGCCTTACACATACAACATTGTTTTTTTTACCCGAACTTCACTAACTTTTATCTGTTTCCCTCTTGTCCCCAATCTACTATTCATGCAAAGAGCTTGATGAATAGGGTCCTTTCCGCAAAAAATTCTGTCAAAATGGTGAAAACTTACGAAATTAAGGTATCTGAGCTATCTTTTGAGAATGATGACCTGCGAACTCAACTGCAAGAACTTCAAGACAAAATAGAGAAGCAGGCTTCCACCATTGAGGGCTTAACAGCTGCGAAGGCCAAGGCTGAGGAGGGGGAGAAAAAGGCTAAAGATGCCTGGGCCAAGGCTAACAATGAGGCTTCTGATGCTCAGAGCTCATTTGCAAGCTTAACCCAAGATTTTGTTGCTCTATCTGAGGCAAGCGGAGCCCTTTGCGACGAGCTTGAAGGGTTTAAGGCTGTTGTATCTGCAAGGGACAAAGACATTGCCAAGCTGCGAGATGATGTCACCACCAAATGGGCTTCTAGGTGGTTGGCCTTTCAGGAAAGAATTGAGGAGACCTACCCTGACCTCGATTTCAACTTTGATATCCTGATGATGAGGGCCCAAATGTGGTTGAAGCAGAAGGTGAGGGTGCCCCCCCCCCCGAAGGTACAAAGGCGGTTGCAGTAGGAAGAGAAAATGCCCCCTGCCTCTTCAAAGGACCCTGTTACTGAGCTCCCCCCTTTTGCTGACCTTGTTGCTACAGCTTCAGCTCTCCCAACTACTACAGAGGCCCCACATTCAAAAGCTCTCATTGTTGGATCTTCCCCAAACTCTGTTAATTTGTCAATCTCTTCTACTGAGCTTCCCGCTCTTGAACCTGTTTCTGTCCCAACTCCGGCAACTGACCAACAGAGTTCAAGACAAAATAGAGAAGCAGACTTCCACCATTGAGGGCTTAACAGCTGCGAAGGCCAAGGCTGAGGAGGGGGAGAAAAAGGCTAGGGATGCCTAGGCCAAGGCTAACAATGATGCTTCTGATGCTCAGAGCTCATTTGCAAGCTTAACCCAAGATTTTGTTGCTCTATCTGAGGCAAGCGGAGCCCTTTGCGACGAGCTTGAAGGGTTTAAGGCTGTTGTATCTGCAAGGGACAAAGACATTGCCAAGCTGCGAGATGATGTCACCACCAAATGGGCTTCTAGGTGGTTGGCCTTTCAGGAAAGAATTGAGGAGACCTACCCTGACCTCGATTTCAACTTTGATATCCTGATGATGAGGGCCCAGATGTGGTTGAAACAGAAGGTGAGGGTGCCCCCCCCCCCCCCGAAGGTACAAATGCGGTTGCAGTAAGAAGAGAAAATGCCCCCTGCCTCTTCAAAGGACCCTGTTGCTGAGCTCCCCCCTTTTGCTGACCTTGTTGCTACAGCTTCAGCTCTCCCAACTACTGCAGAGGCCCCACATTCAAAAGCTCTCATTGTTGGATCTTCCCCAAACTCTGTTAATTTGTCAATCTCTTCTACTGAGCTTCCCGCTCTTGAACCTGTTTCTGTCCCAACTCCGGCAACTGACCAACAGAGTTCAAGACAAAATAGAGAAGCAGACTTCCACCATTGAGGGCTTAACAGCTGCGAAGGCCAAGGCTGAGGAGGGGGAGAAAAAGGCTAGGGATGCCTAGGCCAAGGCTAACAATGAGGCTTCTGATGCTCAGAGCTCATTTGCAAGCTTAACCCAAGATTTTGTTGCTCTATCTGAGGCAAGCGGAGCCCTTTGCGACGAGCTTGAAGGGTTTAAGGCTGTTGTATCTGCAAGGGACAAAGACATTGCCAAGCTGCGAGATGATGTCACCACCAAATGGGCTTCTAGGTGGTTGGCCTTTCAGGAAAGAATTGAGGAGACCTACCCTGACCTCGATTTTAACTTTGATATCCTGATGATGAGGGCCCAGATGTGGTTGAAACAGAAGGTGAGGGTGCCCCCCCCCCCGAAGGTACAAATGCGGTTGCAGTAGGAAGAGAAAATGTCCCCTGCCTCTTCAAAGGACCCTGTTGCTGAGCTCCCCCCCTTTTGCTGACCTTGTTGCTACAGCTTCAGCTCTCCCAACTACTGCAGAGGCCCCACATTCAAAAGCTCTCATTGTTGGATCTTCCCCAAACTCTGTTAATTTGTCAATCTCTTCTACTGAGCTTCCCGCTCTTGAACCTGTTTCTGTCCCAACTCCGGCAACTGACCAACAGAGTTCTGGCCTTACCCCCCCCCCCCCAATCAGAAACTTAGGATGTAGACCAAGTTTTTTTTTCTGAACCCGATTCTTTTTCTTCAGAGTCTGATAAAAGCAAAGACACTGAAGTTCCTTTGAAGAGGCACAAGAGGGATGAGTCTTCCTCTTCTACACCTAACTCTGGCCTGGGGGAAGTTCTGTTCTCCACTGCAGGGCAAAAGCTGATGGATCTACTGTTATCAATTGGGAAGGAAAGGGATGAGCTAAAAAAGGAGAACCTGTGTCTGAAGGAGAGGATAACTGAGTTGGAGAGATGACTAGGAATTTCGCTTTGACTGATTCCTTGTAAGTATTGATGTTTTGCATGGGTTCTGGCTTGAAGAAGTCCTTTGTTTTGTAACCTTTGACGTTTTTGAATTTCATGACTCTTTTGATGAATTCATTGTGGACCAATGAGTTCACCGTTCTTGTCATGAATTAGTAAGTTCATCCCGGGCTTTTGAACTCTTCTCATGAACTGACATGGTCATCGTGAGCTCAGAGCTCGCTTTATGATCTTTATCAGTTCTCCGTGAGCTACGAGATTCTTTTTATGAACTAATAAGTTCATACTGAGCTCTAAGGCTCTTTTTACGAATTAATAAGTTCATACTGAGCTCTAAGGCTCTTTTTATGAACTAATAAGTTCATACTGAGCTATAAGGCTCTTTTTATGAACTAATAAATTCATACTGAGCTCTAAGGCTTTTTTTACGAACTGATAAGTTCATACTGAGCGACATGACTCTTTTTATGAACTAATAAGTTCGTACTGAACTCTAAGGTTCTTTCTTCGTTTTTTTTTTTTTTATGCGTGCCCATAAGGATAGATGAATCACAGACTTATTGTTTTATTAATAATGGTTTATAATACAAGGCAAACTTACTGAAAAAATTTCCTAAGATGTTCTGCATTCCATGAATGGAGCATAACTTTCCCTTCTTCCGTTTGTAGCTCATAATTTTTCGGTCTAATTACTCGAGAGACTATGTATGGACCTTCTCAGTTAGGCCCTAGTTTCCCATGAGTGGAATCCTTTCTTGCCAGTAGAAGCTTCCTTAACACCAGATCTCTAACCTTGAAGCTCATATGCTTGACCTTCCTGTCGTAGTAGTATCTTGCTGTTTTCCTTCGATATTTCTTTATGTTGTTCAGTGCTGCCTCCCTATTTTCTTTCAACAGATCCAAACTTAGCAAAAGGGAATTATCATTGTTTTATTCGTTTGCTAGCTCTGTTCTAAGTGAAGGGACCCCCACTTCGACAGGTGCCACTGCTTCGAAATCGAAAGCTAAAGCAAATGGAGTCTCTTGTGTTGCTGACCTGGTAGTTATCCTGTAGGCTCATAACACTTTTGGGATGGGTTCTACCCACTTGCCCTTCAGATTTTCTAACTTGGTCTTTAGGACGGACTTTATAGTCCTGATGGTGACTTCTACTTGTCAATTGGACTAAGGATGAGCTAGGACAGAGAAGTAATTCTTTATTCTGAGCTCGGCACAGAAGTTTTTGAACTTCGGGTTGTCGAACTGCTTCCCATTATCCGACACAATTGCTTTGGGAATCCCAAATCGGCAGATTATAAATTTTCAAGTAAAATTCTGAACCTTTTGTTCTGTAATAGTTGCTAAGGGCTCTACCTCTGCCCACTTGGTAAAGTAATCCACCCCTATAATAACGAACTTACATTGTCCTACACCAGTGGGAAGAGGTCCTAGTATATCTATACCCCAATGTTGGAATGACCAAGAGCTTATCACTGAGGCCAGGAACTCTAGTGGGCAGTGAGGGATGTTGACATGCATCTAGCAAGCCTTGCATTTCCTGACCAGATCTGTTGCGTCCTTGAGCAAAGTGGGTTAATAATACCCTTGCCTTAGTGTCTTTCCTGCCAAAGCCCATGCTCCAATATGATTGACATAGACTCCCCCGTGGATTTCTCTGAGTATGTAGTTGGCGTCTTCATCTCCCACACATATAAGGAGTGGTATTGAAAAACCTTGCTTATACAAACTTCCCTGTAAAATGGAAAATCTAGCTGACCTGGTTCTCAGCTTTGCAACCTCCTTGGGGTTTTCTGGCAGGGCTCCATTTTGGAGATACTCCAAGATGGGGTCCATCAAGCTTGGTGGATTCTGTATGGGGAGCACTTCTTCTTCTTCAACCCTAATGGATGGTTCCGCCAGATGCTCCACGGGGATCAACCTGTCCAGATTTTCTTGTGAATCTGTTGTCAACTTTGCCAAAACGTCTGCTCTCAAATTTTCAGTTCTAGGGACATGTCTGATCTTTACTTGCACAAATTTCTTAATCAATTCTTGCACCTTTCTAAGATAAAAAGGTGAGTCACTGCAGATCTCTAGTTGCTCGGCTTCCATTGAATGAGCTAAGCTGAGCCCTACTATGACTGCCTCATACTCGGCTTCGTTGTTTGAAGCTTTGAATCCAAATCTCAATGCGTATTCAACATCTATCTCATCGGGGGAAGTCAAAATCAAACCAACTCCACTGCCCTGAGCATTAACAGCTCCATGTACTAAAAATTTCCACGTGAGGAGGTCAGGTACTAACTGTGTTGTCTCTGCAGGTATCCCAGTTGTGAATTCTGCAATGAAATCTGTCAATATCTACCCCTTAATGGCTGTCCTTGACTTGTATCTGATGTCAAACTCGCTAAGTTCAACGGCCCATTTAACTAGTCTCCCCGAATATTCTGGCTTGTGCAACACCTGTTTCATAGGTTGATCTGTTGGGACTTCGATAGTATGAGCCTAAAAGTAAGGTCTAAGTCTCCTGGTGGTTGTCACTAAGACTAAAACGAGTTTTTTTATTTTAGGATATCTTTTTTCTGCCCCCT